TGACTCACTAATGCCTGCCGGAGCTCTTCCAAGAGGCCGCAGGCGACCCTTGAGAAGGCTGGCGCCGCTGTACAGCGCTGCACGGTGCGCGGCCGACGCGGTGTTTGCGTTGGTGGGATTACCCGCGATTGATCCGATGTCGGCGAGCTGCAGCCGACCCGTGGAGGGGGCCAGTACTGTGCTCTGTACGCTCGTGCTTCCCCCTGCTCCGTGCTCTCGTGCTCCCCTGTGCTCTGCGGTCGAGTTCGCGGTCAGCACGGCATGGGGCCGGCAGCGGCGCCCGGCGGCAGAGACCAGTCGCACCCGGCCGCCAGCCCGCGCGGCCAGGATCAGCTGATCTGAGTCAGCCCGCAGAGAGGGGGGGGGGGGGGGGGGGGGGGGCAGCCGGACCGGCGCCAGCCGCTCCCGGCACCCGGTCGGGACGCGTCTCACCGGAGCCCGTCCGCTACCGGTTCCGGCCAGCGTCGCCCTCCGATCTGGGGCGACGCGCCCCGATCGCCGGCGCACCGTTACCGCCGCCGCTCGTTAGCCATGCAGAGGCGGCCGTGCAGGCGCCGGCCGAATCGCAATCAGATGGCCGGCGTCCGCCGCCGACCGGTCGGGGCGCCCCGTAATATGTGTCAGCAGTGTCAGCGGCGCGCCGGGCCCTGCGGGCGGCGCCGACGCGCTGCGAGCCCCGAAGCCAGGACCGGGGCGCCCCGTAATATGTGTCAGCGGTGTCAGCGGCGCGCCGGGCCCTGCGGGCGGTGCCGACGCGCTGCGAGCCCCGAAGCCAGCACCGGGGAGCCCTCCGCAACAGCCAGCTGCTGGGACGTGACGACCGAACGTAGCTGTCACGCGAGAGTTTGCCGTTTGGTGCGGTGGCGCGTGATCACCTGTTTTTTTCATTTGGCACAAAACTTTTGGAAGGGTTTGTCAGTGTTGGTTAAACATCTCATTGGATATCTAGCATATTTGTGCGTCAGGTGCTTAAATAAAGAAGACAGAAATGTATTCGCATGATTTCTATACATTTAGGCTGCTGCTAGTTTTAATTATCCGCCCCAAAAGCTCAGCTTGAAAGCGTGACTACCATCCGACTCACCCAGCCGTGGCGGGGTGGGTCCGAGTCGCTTTTGGCGCTTGCTTTACGCCTCTGACTGGGATGGCCTGTGCCCGGTGGCAGCGGTCGCGCTAAATGTCAGATGACGTCAGACGGCGGGAGGGACTGATCCGAGCGTTGCATTGCAGCATAGCAAGCTTTCGCTTCAAAATTCTTCCGTGGACCGGAACTTCATGATCGGATAGTGGGGGCAGGACTCACGCAATAAGCACTGCTTAGGGTGAGCGCTGATTCCAGAAATCCGTGAGTCAAAAGGCTCGAAGTAAAAATTTGAACACGGGCTATCTGCTTGCCGTCTTGAACAATGAACTTGAAGAATAAACAAATTTGAACCATAAACTTGACAAAATGCTTAGAGACTGGAAGGGCGATATTGTAAGTTTACTGAGGTGGATGCTGCTATTGACATCCCTTTTCTAGGATATATATATATATATATATATATATATATATATATATATATATTATATATTTATATACGTGCGAGAATATTGTGTGCTACGCAAGCTTCTACTTCGAAGTAGGCCTCAGTGTGTAAAGAGCGATGTCGTCATGCCTTTTTTGCGGCAAACGCTGGCATTATCTTGGCAAATGACTAGCTGATCTTCTGACGGAAGTCAGATCTACGCCAATGCTTTTCTTCAATAGCACTAAGGGATAGTTTGTTAAGTGTACGCAATCACCCATGTTGGTTATGTACCATTTGATGTGTTGTGTCTTCGAATCAAAACAGGTCACGCCAGCACATCATCATTATCAGGGCATCAGCATGCCAGTTTCTCTCAGGCCTTAACTTCAGTAGCATTGCAGCATTACAGTGTCACACAACTTCAAAGTTTTATGATCACGGCCAAAACCAAACTTCTACACCCGTTCCAGCCCGTTTTGAGGTGAACAGACCTGTTTGGGGACATGAATAGCTGGACACGGCGATCGAGCGAACGTTGCCAACGGCCCTCGTCCCTACCGTTGGCGGCTATGTTTAGAAGAACCCGACGTCATTGAGACGCTTCGGTGGGAATTACATTTGCTCCGTAGTACGTGAACCGACTGAATGGCTCGTTTCCGTAATAGCATTGAATGGACAGATTTTCACAGCAAGCCGTATCTCCCGCATGTAAATGGCACATGCCGGTGCTTTTATGCCGGTCTGATCTGGGTAATCTAGCCTCTTAGATACGGCTGACTGGGTGCGGGCCGCAGATGCTCGGGACCGCTGGCGCCGCACGGAGGCGCCGGGCGTCATGTGTGATCGGCCACGGCATCTCTCGGAGATCACCCCTGGGACCGCTGGCCGTGTGTACACTGGTACAGTAGGTCTTCCGAGACTCTCAGCCATCTCCACATCAACCCAGACCCCACGGCTTGTCCCGGAAGGGTCTGACGATGCGACTCTAGTGTCTCTAGCAGGGGAAGACGCTAGACGAGTTTTAGCTTTTCTGGAAATATGTACTGATGAGGTTTGCCGAACTATTGATATGAATGGCGTGCAGTCGTAAACCGTAATTTGGTTATCTACTGACTGTGTCCTTAGACTGTGATTTTCAAAACTCCGTAGCCGTCAATTTGGCATTTTCCTCTTCTTTGTTTTAAGCTCGCTATTTATTGATCCATCTGCTAGATACCGTTTTAATGACTGCGCTCTCTTCGTCCGTTTCTGGCTATCTTTCCCTATGCTGGTTTGTGGCTGTAATTGCCTGCCGTCCGTGGACGGGTCGGTCCGTTTGCCTGTCGGATCGTGCCTGATCCCGGGTGGCGCCGTGACCCCTGAACGGCCGGCGTGCGTGTACTTGCGTGCACGCGTGCGTGCGGACGTGTGCGCACGTGCGCGTGTGCGCGTGTGCGTCGACCCAGTGCAGACGGATGACCCAGATCTGAGCGCATCCCTCCAGCTCCGCCCGGCCCGCCGAGCGGCCGGCCCACCGAGCAGCGCGCGGCGTCCGACATAGCGTCTGGGTCCCAGCGCGATACAGGCAGGCGGGCGCTGACGCACGGCGCAGGGCGAGCCGTGTGTCACGGCTGGGTCCGGCTCGGCGCCCGCCGGAGCGCACCTGGTGCCCGCACGCGGGTCGGCGTCAGACCACCGCAGACTCGTGCGGACTCAGCGGTCTCGTCTCGGTGGGAGCGGTCTGTGATGGCGGGCGGCTCCTGAGGCAGGCCGGTACGGGGCTGGCTGGCGGCGCGGACGTACTGTCCCGTGACGAACACCGTGAGCGGAACTGATGGCGGCCCGTGACGGGAGGGTAACGCTTGGCGGGACGGCCCGTGACGGGAGGGGGGCACTCGACGGCACACAACGTGACGCTCTCGAACAGTCCAGCGCGGCACTGTGACTTCTGTTCCTTCGGGTCTTCTGTTTCGGAGAGCCTCAGGCCGCCATGCGTCGTCACCATCGGTTGCTTTGTCATTGCAAAAAGTTTCTTTCAATCATCCCCCTCTCCTTCCCGTCGCTCTCGCTCTAGCCGTTGCACTCTCTTCCTCCTCCTCCTCTCTCTCTCTCTCTCTCTCTCTCTCTCTCTCTCTCTCTCTCTCTCTCTCTCTCTCTCTCTCTCTCTCTCTCTCTCTCTCTCTCTGGCGCTCGTGTCGTGTTTCCTTGTGGCAGCGATAGCGTAGTCGTGGGCCACTTTTGGGCAGGGCTGGAGTGCGCATGCTGCTCGCTCATCTATTACCAATCATGTTCTTTCAATGCATGAATTCTCAGTAAAACCCCAAGACGTCTAATAGATTTCTCCTCCAGCTGCTCGCCCATTCCGACGCATTGTGCGGTCATAGACATGACCTGGATAGTAGTGCAGCAGCCGTGTAGTGGGGGAGCCGAGGCGATACACGGCACGTACCCACCGCCGTGTTTCGCCACTGATAACTGACTGATAACTGATATGTCTTCACGACATCAGCCATGATTTGGATCGACTTACCGGTGGTATTTTTTGCCAGTTAGGTACACTGACGTTCTTTTATGACGGAAGTATGAATTAGCAGTATTCTGCGCAACCGTTTAACATTATGGATCGTCGGTGCTGTTCAGTACAGTAGTTCGATCGTTTCTACCACTCACTGGCGTGTCACGAACAAGTTTTATAAAAGGCTTTCTAATAAGCTGTCGAACCCTTATGTGACAGACGGTCATATTGGATGGCAGTCGTATCTGGAGAGTCTCTCCTCCGCAACTCTGACGCAAAGAACCATTTAGTCCTCGTTCTGGAGGTCTGCCTGGTGTATCATTGCTCACTGGAGATGTGACCCTCCCCGGATGCTGCGCAGTGTTAGGACTTACTCGGCGATAATGTCGCTGGTGCTACCGTCTTATGAAAGCTCCGTCGTCCCTGCCTTGTGCCATCACATCCACCTCCCTATGCTGCCTTATGTCGCCGACACCTGTTGTCTCATCCCCGCTACCCTGCTCCACGCCAACTTTACTGACCTCTGCATTCTCATTTCCGCCAGCTTTGGCTGCATTTTGCGGCTCCTATCCCGTGAGCTAACTCTATGTCACTGGCGTGCGCTGTCTCGTTGCCACGCTGTCTGACGTCGTGTCCAGATGCCGCAGTCTCGTTCCCGCCGTCTGTCACGCGTTCATCATCGCATCAGTGAGCGTGGCTGCACCGCTGCTCACTGATGCAATGATGAACGCGGAGTCCGCCACGGTGGCCGTGCGCCAAGCGACCTGATCCTGCCGTGGCGGCGGCCTTGTTTTCGTGCCGAGCCTTTAACCGGGTGTTTGCGCTGCGCCTCTGCCGCGATGGATCATAGCTCAGCACCGGCGCGGCGGCGGACATGCGCGCCAGTGTCGCCTCGCGGCACGCACGTAACTCGCCGGCTGTCGGACGCGGCCGCGTGACGGCCGCGGCGCGGCGCGCCACCGCTCACGGCCGCCCCGCCTGTTTGCCGCTTGCAGACGCTGAAGACCGAGGCGTCGCAGCGTGAGGCCCGACTTCGCCTGCAAGTGGAGGAGTTAGAAGCGGCGGTCAAGGCGCTGCTTCAGTCGCAGTCGCGGGAGCGCCGCCTGCTGGTGAGTGACGCGGCGCCGCCGACCCCGGCGACAGGTCACCGAGGTCACGCGGCGCAACAAAGCCAGCCGACAGCACCGTGACCCCATCAGCGCTTCTTGCGTCGGATGCGAGATTAATTGTGTAGAAATTAAAGCCCGAGTTGTGTGAGCGACCTTGTGCCACATTTAGGTAGCGACGGGGGAGGATGCGCGGTAAAAACGAGGAAGGCGTGCGCTATCCTCTACTTGTGTTGCAAGGATTAATGGGATGTGAAGATGTGACGCACGTGATGGGGCTGCATATCAATCTCTGCGATTGAATCGGGTGCGTCTCCACGTAAGTAAGCGGCTTGGGTTACCAGAACTTCGCATAGCCATTGGCGTAACATGGACCGCATAGAACCCAACACAATATCATGCTTCAGCAAGTGGCATGCGCAGTATGTCAGATATCTGATCAAAGTTGTGGGTGGTCGAACCACAATGTTTCCCACCGACCCGTATTACCATACAAGTCGAGCCGAACAGGCGGTCCCTCATCAGAATGCCCACCGCTGCTATTGCCACTTCAAGTGCCCCCCGCAAACAAAGCCACCGCGGGCCCTCAGCAGCCGGCGGTCGCGGTGCACGCCGCGTCAGACACCGTTAGCACGCCTCAATGGCAGAACTGGAGCGTCTGCGTGGAGGCGAGCGTGGCGCGCCGGTGTGAAGTGGTCCGAGTGGGCCCGCCGGCGCGCGCTGTCGCCACGGGGGCTCGCTCCACGCGGCGCCGCACGCAGGAGACGACCGTGATCTGAGGCCCAGCGCCGTGCTGGCCGCCCAGCGCCGGCTGCCGCTGGTTGTCTCGGTGGTATCGGGAGCAGGTGTGAGGGCTACCGCAGGTAGTTGGCACCAAAGGTGTCTGTAAGCCACACTTTGGCAGCTCGGTGGCCGTGGTGTCTAGGCCACACTTTGGCAGCTCGGTGGCCGTGGTGCCTGTGAGCCACACTGACAGCCTTTAGCAGCACGGCCACCGGGCTGCCAGTGGGTGGCCGGCCCACAGACGTCACGGCTCTCTTGCTGGCAACGTGGCTCACATACACTGCAGCTGCCTTGCTACCAATGCTGCTGACAGACACAGCAGTTGTGCTGCCGATGTCGCCCACAGAGATCACAGCTGCCGTACTCCCGATTTGAATCACAGGCAATACGGCTACTTCTGCGTCAACAGGGCCGGACATTCCGCCTGCATGCAGTGGGTTTGATCAGGCCGTAGCGGTACGGCTGTGCCGCCGCTCTGAAGCCGGTCTGACGCCAGAGCCGCGCTCGTGTCATGCGGCTGGCTGAGACGGCCGTGTCTCCCCGCCGGTCGGCCCGGTGTCGAGGTGACCCACTCTGCGGCCGGCACTGGCGCTCGCGCCGTCAGCACCTCGCACCCCGCCGGCTTACGACGCCGTGCGTCACCGCGCTGCGCCGACCCGCCTTTCATCCGGCCAGCGGGCGTTCACGGACGGCGTCGGGAGGTCTCCGGGTCAAGCGCAGTCACGCGATGAACAGCTCGGCACGAGCCGTGATCGAGAGGAGGCGATCGCCGCGCCGTTGTGGCGGCTTCTCTGGCGCTGGTCCATCGTTCAGGGGTCGGCGGCGCCTGAATGGGGGCGGCCGGGCGAGCCGATCGAACCAGCTCGTGAGGCGGCGCGCCAGCGGCGGCCGTCGTGTTGTAACCGGCGCCGGCGCGACGGTTGGCTGGGGTGTGCCCGAAGAAGGTCGTGTCGACCCGGCCGCCTTATCAGCCAGGTCTGACCCAGGCGACGGCGGTACAATGGCGTGGCCCGGCCCCTTCACCGCGCCGCCCCCGCACCCCACCGCGCCGCGCCGCGTGCCGCCCTCCTGCGCAGCAATCGCCTCGTCCAAACACCTCGACACAGCCGATCCGAAAGTGGCGCGGCCTCAGCGCCGCCGCACACAGAGAGCGCCGCGCCGCCGGAGATACGGCGCAGCCGGGGCTGGCGAGCCGGCGCGGCCGCTCGGTGAAACTGACGGCCGCCCTCACCGGCCCAGCCAGCTCTTACGGCGCCAGTAATTGACGGCAATGGCCTTTATGGCTCATTCCTCGTTCCAGGATTCCGAATTTGGAGGGACTAGGCGTTCGACTTCCTCAGCTGGCAGCGTGATATTTGACGTCATACGTGAGAGATTGGCTAATACCATTAACTCCTGCGCCAAATGCGGCGCCACATGACCAGGTTGTCCTGGCATGCACGTATTGACCCAGATAGTCGGAGAAAGCCCTGCGCCGTGATCGCTTTAAACCGAGAGTCGTATCTGGCGCTGCCAGTGAATATGTGCGAAAAGCGCCTCTGACTAGCTCAGCAGGAGTCAGAGAGCGAAGCCCTGAGCGTCGGCGGTCAGCCGGGCCGTCTTCGAGTGCCCACCACCTGACTGTTCGATGACGGGTCGGAGGATAGGTCGGAGATGCTTGTGCGACCGCCGTTTGCGCCGGCTGGCGTGCCCGGGTGCCCGGATGGCTGGGCGTCAGCAGCCAGGCTGCTGCGGATGGCTTCTAAATACGATTCACAGCTGAAGCAGCAGCGTGGCTAGTTTTTTCTTTCTTTTTTGGACTGCAAGGACTTAACAAAAGTTGAAGCAGTTACGCCCTGACAATAGTTATGTCGCAATAGAGAATTTAAATGCCTGCAGCAGACTGAAACTTGCGTTTGACGTATTTCAGGTGTAATGGCGTGCAATTTCCTGTTCGGTGGGGGTGAGGGCAGCCTTCCTAGTTTTGAGAAGAAAATTAATGAAATTGGATATACTTTTTTACTGTGCCTTAGGGGTAGATTTAACAACTTTCTCCTATTCAGCCTCGAACGATATTTTGCGAGACTGCGCCCCTGCTGGTGTAGTGGTTTACTCGTGCTCCTATCACACTCGTGCAGTTTACGGTGCGTACCGGCTGTGCCATTGTACACAACGTTGTATTATGCAATGCTCAGATACACCCAACACCGTGGCGTTCTGTTTCAGGAGAGGAAGATCAAGAAGATGGAGTGTGAACAGAAGCCGTCGCGACTTCGTGCCAAGAGGACTGCAGCGCGCCTGCACCACCTCCAGGAAAGGAGCGTCAAAGTGGAACAGAAACCGCACATTCCGGGAGAAAACAAGCCTCAGGTGAGCGCATGAGAACTGAGGAGCAGAATGCGTGTGTTGCACAAGCGACAGAGAGGAACCAAGCGTGGAGGTGCACACGGTTTCTTTCCTGGGGTGACGAGCAATTTGCAAATTGGCTCCTGGTGTCCGCCCATTTTCACAGGCGCGGCGTCAGCCGCTGACGCATTTCCAGGTACTGTTCCCATGCTCGTCAGTCGTGACGCACACTGCAGGTATTTCCCAGCCGCACAGAATTTCGTCTTGTCTTGACTTACTGAAGAAAGCCGCAGTGACGTTTTCTCGTTCGTTGCAAGTTGTAAGTGCTTGTACAAGGAAGGTCTTGATATGCTTTGCAAAGTAGTCGCTAGCTGCACATATCAAGCATATTTATAGTTGCTAAACGTATCGGTATCTGTATTTGTACCTGTAGCTGCTATAGCAGTAACTGCAGTGGTAGTAGTGCAGTACCAGGGGCTTCAAAGTATCAGCCAGCTGCGTTCTCGGCGGTTTGCGCTGTCATGCGACCGCCAACACGGGTACGCGTCTCGCCAGCAACCAAAGGCGTCTGGGAACAGTCGTCGCTCCAACACGCACACCGACGATACAGCGCGATTGTGGCGCCGCGCTAATGATGGGAACGGCGGCGGTGCCGCGACCCTGCCAGGACCGGGGAGCGCATGCGCGGCGCGCGGCGGCGGCCCTCGAGTGTGCGAACCTGACGCCATCGCGTAAACACTTCCGCCGTGGTTGTTGTATTGTTAGCCGACGTCGTGAGCGATGCCCCGATTGTTCCGCGCCGCCGGTCTCTCATGGGTTACGAATACCGCAGAGATGGCGGTCTGTGATGGCATACTTGTGTAAGCGGACGGTTATGCGCGAGACGGACGTGAGTGAGTTGAAAGCGATTTTCGTGCTTTACGCAGTCGAGGCGCGGGATAATGTGTGGTATTAGGTTTTTCATGGTCTGCTGCTCTCGCTGACAAATGTTTCTGATATGCATCATACTCTATGTTGTTCCCACCCATTAATACTGACAAAATGATGATTTAGTCTCAAAATATTCACGCCGCTGGCTTCATACATGCGTAGGAGTTTCAAACAGATTGTTGGAACTACATCCTGTGCAATATGTGCTTTACGATAGGGTGGCGTAAAGATGATACCTGAGTTTAAATGAAATTTTAATATTCTACGGATTCCCCGATAATGTGTTTATGACATTGTCGTCATAATCTTTCTTCGAAGGTCTTACCAAACTCCGAAAAACTGTGGAAACCGTTTCGGATTTCGCGGTCATCACAGTTACTCTTGCGCTCAGGGCGCAGAGCGTCATGGCAAGATCCGAGCCCCAAAACATGGTGGCGTCTAAGCAGCGACAAGGAGCTATAGCAACTCCAGGAGGCTGATAATTCCAGCACCTCATGCCATCGCAGAAACAAGCTCTGATGAGCTGGATAGGCTCTGGCGAGCTGTACAGGCTCTGATGAGCACTCCATTACGCTAAACGCTGGGACTGGGCCGATTAGCCTACCCTATCCGTCCGGCCTGGCTGCTCCCGGTCAGTTGCGGGTGTGCGGTGCGGGCTTGGGTGCGCTGTGGGTGCGGGTGCGCGTGTGCTGAGCGGGTGCGAGTGTGCGCTGTGGGTGCGGGTGTGCTCTGCGGCTGCTGTACCGCTCCGGTCAGCACGCTCCGGTCACGGTCGTCAGCCAGGTTTGAGACACGGCGACAGCCAGCTGACCAGTGCACGTGCGTGTCACGTGGTCGCAACTCCGGCATCGGTGTGCTGGCGCCCCCCGAGCCGTGTCGATACCGCTGCGTCACGGTTGTTGGACGTCCGGACATGGCCCGTCCGCGGGGTCGGTGCAGGTCAGCCGCGTCGCTGCCCGAGCGTCCAGCGCCCCCCCCCCCCCCCCCCCACCGCCGCCGCCGCCGCCGCTGCAGAGGCGACGGGCGGTGCCCTGAGCCGACCCAGCGCCGGCGGCGGCGGCGGCCGCCGCCGCCGGGCACGCGCTGGCGGGGGCCGCCGGCCGTCGGACCGTGTCCACAGCGCGGTCGGTCGACAGCCCTGGGAACGCGGCCGGCCGGCCGGCCGGAGGGCCACGCCCGCGGCTCGGCTCGGTGCGCCGCCGACGCCGGCAGCGGCGGCCGCCGCCCGGCCGTCTGCAGAGTGGCGCGCGTGCTGGCGGGGGTGGTGCGAGGCTGCGCGGAGGCGCCCAGGGCCGCCAGATGGGGCGCTATGCCCTGCAGGCTGCCTACCAGTCGAAGATTCCGGCAAGTGTGAGTGCCCACTGTCGAGTGCCGGCCCGCGCCAGTCTGGCTGCGTCGTTACCAGCGGAGGACTGAGTTCAGAACGAGCGCGTCGGCTGGTGTGGTGCTGTGCCGGGAGGTGTAAGCCGAGACGAGGCTGGTGTGGTGCTGTGCCGGGAGGTGTAAGAGAGCAGGGCTGCTTTTGTGCGTGGTCAATATGCATGCCGTTCAGTTCATGTCTGGGTGTTTATGACAAACGGGAGTCTGCGAGTACGCATTAATACCCAGTGAGTACACCGTTTGTATGTACCTGGGGCATTCCGAGACGGTTTGCGGTGTGTCTGTTGTTTAGCCTATTGGTAGACTGTCTGTAACCAACGTTACTAGCGGGCTAAACAGAGCGTAAACGATATCACACAGTGGCCAGTTTCATTACAAAAGCTGCGATTTTGACTAGCTTTTACCACTCCGCCGTTGTTTTGGCCGGGAACAAATTCATTTCACCAATGACTGAAAATGACGATGACCCAGCGCATTTGTAAACATTCAGTGCTTGTTTCATTTCATGATTATGTGAACAATTGCCCAAATTGCCGATGTGGTCTCGAGATCGGTGAATGTACACGGCCCTTGTCACGGACATTGTCAGCCTTCTGATAGCTGTCATCAGCTGTCGAGGGTCATTATCCTCCATTGACGGCGGTGCGCGCATTGCGACAGGCCTCAGGCAGTGAGGAGGCGGCGCGCCGCTCACCCCAGCGGCAATTCACAGCTTCATCTTCGCTCGGGCTCATGGGGTTAGCGGCTCATGCGATCACGACGTAGACGTTAGCATACGTGGGCGTGAATGGCGTAATCTAGCGTCGATGTTTGCTGGGATGGTGAGCTGGTCTGGGGGCTTTACTCGGCGGGCGGCTGGCAATACGCAGAACTACTGCTGTCCTCAGTAAGTCACGGCGCGCTGGGCGAATCCCGCCTGGCCGCGCCATAGCCAGCGCACTTTTAAAGAGTCCGGTGTGTGCACGAGTGCCATTGTGCAAAGCCGTGGGGCGTCCGCGGCGGTCAGCGGCTTGGAGCCACGAAAGGTCACTGTTACGTCAGCCAGCCTCGCCCGTGAGCTGCGTCACCCCGGCAGGCCGTGTCCCTCTGCCCGCTGTGCCACTCTGCCGGGCTGTTTCGCTATGTTGCTGCATCATTCGGCGGACTGCGCTACTTGACAGGCGCCCCAGGTGACCTCCGCAGGTCGTGCGTCTCCCCCTCCCCGTACCCCGTCGACCGCCGCCTCGGACGATGTCGTCCGTCCGACCCGCCGGCGGCACGACACGTGATCAGATCTGCGACCGATGTCCCGGGAGCGGCGGTCGGTGTCCCGGGGGGCTGTGGTCAGTGTCCCGGGACTGGCGAAAGTGCCCCAGGGCTGTGATCGGTGTCCCGGGGGCAATGGTCAGTGTCCCGGGGTAATGATCAGGCCCCCGCGGCCGGCCCTGTCCCCAGCGTCGGCGCCCTGCCAGGCGCGTGCCTCGGCCGGTCGGGCGACTCCCCTCGGTGCCGGACTGGGCCCGTCTCGGCTGACACCGGCCGGCTGTGAATGCGGGGAATGCGAGGCGTCCGGGCCAGGCGTCGGGCCGACAGCCCGTCCCGTACCGGTCGATGGTGGCCTGGACCAGCAGCGCTGCCCAGCTCCGGCCGCCGCAGGAGGCTGAGCCCTCCCTGTCGTGTGCACCCAGAAATGATGACCCGACCATCGCTGTGGCCCGGAAGTGTGCCTAAATCTATATGACAGCACATTAGCGCGATGCTCGCATGATAATGCCGCAATGGTCATGGCCGCTAATATAATGATGCTCTTGGGTTGATTATAATCAACACAAAGCTCATCGTCTTGTTAGGTCACAGATGTCACCACATCCACCCGCAAACGCGTTACCGATGATTTCCCCGGCTTTTGGGTCCGATGGCTGTTCATCCGCATAGCATGCTAGGAATGCGTCCGGCCAAGCTGACCTGTGTGCGTCTGTGTCCACCTGCTGGGGACGTGTCCGGGTCCGGCCCGCCTGGCGGGCGGTCGGGAATTCCGGCCTCTCAGGCGGCCCAATGAATGGCCAGTCCTGGCCGGGACTCGCGCGCCCGAACAGCACCGATCGCCGCCGCCGGGTCACCGCCACCGAACGGCGCCCGCTGCGTCCAGGCTGCGTCCGGAGCCCGCTCTGCGGGCTCCGGCCGCGCCCAGCAGCTGGGCGGGTGCTCCGCCGCGCTCGCCGGCGGAGCGGGGCTGGACGGCGGCGACACCGCGACCTCCGGTGGTACACAGGTCTTTTTCATTACCTCTGGTGGTACACTGGCTTGCATCTGAACCTTTGGCGGTAAACAGGCCTGCATCGGTACCTGTCGTGATACCCAGGCCTGCATCAGGCCCCCTGATGGTGCACGAGCCTTCAATAGGGCCTCTGGCGGTACATAGGCCTACATTACGGCTTCTGTCAAAGCATGGATTCGCACCAGGGCCTCTGTCGGGGTAAGGTTGGCACCAGGGTCCCTGTCGAGTCTGGGCCGGCACCAGACTATACCGGCCCCTTCCTGAGTACCGGCCTGAACCAGGGCCTCGGGCCGAGTACTAACCGACATCAAGGCTTTTGTCGTGTGCTGGTCAGCACCAGGGCCTCTGTCATGAACGGGTTGGTAACAGGGCTTCTTTCATGTACGGGTCGGTGCCGGGGTCTTTGTCATGTACAAAGCGGCACCGGGGCCTTTGTCGTTTACAAGACAGTACCAGGGACTTTGTTGTGTCTGAGCCGGAATTAACACCTCTGTTATGTATGGACCGGCACCAAGGCCTCTGTCGTGCAGAAACTGATACCAGGGTCTCTGTTGTGAACGGACCGGCACCAGGTTCTGCGTCAGTAGAGAGACTCGCCCAGATTCCCTGTTGGTATGGCTTGCACTGGGCTTGCACTAGATTCTTGTCGACATACCTGTCGGCACCAGAGTTCCCGGCAGCTTCAAGGAAGGTGCCAGGACGTCTTTCGGCGTGTGTAGACCGGCACGAGGGCCCTGTCGGCATGCGGTACACAATCAGGCACCCAAATTACCCTACGTATACAGTTCGGCGCCAGGGCCTCCGTCGATATACGCTACGCCGGCCGACACTAGGGCATCTGTCGGCATAGGCTAGCATGCCGGCACCAGGGCCTCCGTCGGTATACGCTACGCCGGCCGACACTAGGGCATCTGTCGGCATAGGCTAACATGCCGGCACCAGGGCATCTGTCGACCGTAGATCGGTAGCAGGCATGGCTAGAAAGCGTGCACGCGCGCCGCGGGGCAGTCGATGGGTAGCTCGTGCGCGACAAATGGTGCATGACGCGGCACTATCGTGATGCCCAGTTGACGCTTTTTGTTCGCATGACGGCGATGAAAATAAACTTCGGATTTGCAAAGAACCATTAAGAAATGATGACGGCACCAAGGTGTTATTATCATGAAAACAGACTTGTTTTGGCGTGGAACATGACGGGCTATGAGACCGCTCGTTAAAGATCACAACAGCGTCGGTTCACGACATGTGCATTCAAGTTGTTTCGGATGTGTTCATGACCAAGCGGCCCACAGAAAGGCTGTCCCTAAAATGACTCAGTCGGTATAAAAACCTCACTTACCTTTTGTGTCGGGATTTTCCACCAATAAACGACGATCTGGGCAGAGCACGGGTGGCTTATGCATATATGCCCACACACCTCCATAGCCCTTGCCACTTGGCCAACTTATATCATGCGTTCTCTTGCCTGCCGAGTCATGTTTCATCTTCACGAAAGCCTACGGCATGATTGTTTTGCAATCAAGGAGATGTCACGTTAGGTGGCCCCGATAGATTAGGTAGCCAGAGTTTTATCGAAGGTTGTTTTAACTGGAAATGTTTTCTTTCTGCAGGCGTTGGTTTTAACAATTGTCATATGACTCATACATCGTGCCAAATAGGCGAGCTTAGCTGCTGAATGTTCGTAGCAATTAAAAATGCCCTATCCTATTTTCAAGGTTTTTGAACTCGTAATTCCAAAACACTGGAAGGCAACGGCCTTCTTACATCAAGTTAGCAATTTGCTTCATCTGTGCAGGGTATCTAGATTATTGACATAATTTATCAGTAACAACGACTTTGCATTAGCACTCCTGTAGACGGAACATCTGATTATTTCCATTGGCGTCTGACAGTTGCAGAAGCCGCCAGCTCGAGCCAGTGCCGCTCTGAAGCGTCGCAAGGCTGCGCCTCCCTTGTCGGACTCGGCCGAGGTGACGCAGCTGAAACGCAAGGTGGACGAGCTGCAGAAATGCATCGCGCAGCTGCGGGAGACGACACAGGTGAGCGCGGCTAACGTGGCTGACGGCGAACACCGCGTCACGTGCCGCACAGGTGGGCCGTGGCCATTTGGCTCCCAAAAATGGCGGCATTGAGCCGAAAAGAGGGTTTATACAGTGAGCCAAATGATTATTTCAACTAAAATGCCGTCCCAGTTTTACATGGGAAGCCTAATGTACAGTGCTATCGTACGGCAGAAAATAACACTGGCATAAGGAAAAGGTTATTGAAACTGCTGTTATTTGCAGTTGTTGTTTGTCCTGGTTCAATATGGCTTCCTCTGTTTGTCTGCTGTGTCGCGCCGGCTGACGGCCTATCCCGCTGACCCGCCTGGCAGGCCGGCGGCGTCGCGCCTCGCTGGCCGACGGCCTGTCCCGCTGACCCGCCTGGCAGGCCGACGGCTTGTCGTGCCTCGCTGGCCGACGGCCTATCCCGCTGACCCGCCTGGCAGGCCGGCGGCTTGTCGCGCCTCGCTGGCCGACGGCCTGTCCCGCTGACCCGCCTGGCAGGCCGACGGCTTGTCGCGCCTCGCTGGTCGACGGCCTATCCCGCTGACCCGCCTGGCAGGCCGGCGGCTTGTCGCGCCTCGCCGACCGACGGCCTGTCCCGCTGGTCCGTCTGGCAGGCCGGCGGCCTGTCGCGCCTCGCTGGCCGACGGCCTGTCCCGCTGACCCGCCTGGCAGGCCGGCAGCTTGTCGCGCCTCGCCGACCAACGGCCTGTCCCGCTGACCCGCCTGGCAGGCCGACGGCTTGTCGCGTCTCGCCGACCGACGGCCTGTCCCGCTGACCCGCCTGGCAGGCCGGCGGCCTGTCGCGCCTCGCTGGCCGACGGCCTATCCCGCTGACCCGTCTGGCAGGCCGGCGGCTTGTCGCGCCTCGCTGGCCGACGGCCTGTCCCGCTGACCCGCCTGGCAGGCCGGCGGTCTGTCGCGCCTCGCTGGCCGACGGCCGGCCCCGCCGGGTTTCTGCGTTGTGTGCCAGTCTTGCTGTGTCACCATAGGTCCACGGGAACAACAGTCTGCTAGGGTCGAGAGAAGAGCCACAAGTGGGCACACAATTCCTCCTTTGACCGCTTCTATGTCAGGAATGTTTGCCTGTCAGCGACCCGCGAGCACAACGCTGTGACGCTATCCGACCCGCCTCGGATAAACGTATCACTCGCCCTATCGCGCACCCCGTTCCGCGGTGGACCTCGATCCGACCGAGCGGCCGAGGTAGCACGCTGCTCGGCCCCGTATCGGAGCAACGCGCGGCGCTGCCGCTCGCCGGCTGGCGGTGGCGCGAGCTCGACTGAGGCAGCGGCCTGCCTCCTTCGCAGGTCGGCACGGCGCGGCCAGGACACCCGGCAGCCACCAGACCACACCGGCTGCTGCAGGGCAAGGTGAGGCAGCAGCCGGCAGCGCGCCAGTCGCCTGCCGTTGGGTGCAGCGTATGGCGTCATGTGGGTGGTGCGCGTTCACCCGCATGGGGCTTTCTGGCTCCCTGTGCCGTCATCGGAACATTGAATATCGAGCGGGTCGCGTGTTCCCTTCCATGTGTCGTCAGTCAGACGTGGGCCCGAGTGCCAGGAATGAGATCTTAGTTGTCTTTTTGGGGGAGAGGTGCTCCAGGTAAATGTCCGTCTTTATGTGCTTTTGCACAGACCTCATGTGCCCAGGTACGCGACAAAAAAGTGATATCTCACCGTTAAAGACTGCATCGATAGACTTAGCAGTTTTTAATCGATCGCACTATAACCGGTCGCAGACCTCTCTCCTTTTGGCGGCCTTACATCCTTTAGTCCCAGATGTTAACCGAGATCGGCATTTTTTTAAATAGCCATCAAATCGCCGGCCAAATGGCATGGCGCCTGGCCAGCCGCGTGTTCCGATCGAACGCGCCTCGCATTCGATTATGCTCTGGGGCCGAGAACGGGGCCGAGTGGCGCGATCGGACGCGGCAGCTGCCGGCCGCAGCGGGCGGCCGCGCGCTGGTCCACTTCGATCAGGGCCCGATTACGGCCCGCGCGCTCTGGGAGGACGGTCGGGGCTCGGCCTGCTGGAGCTCGGTCCACCACTATCCGCTGCTGGAGCTCGGTCCACCACTATCCGCTGCTGGAGCTCGGTCCGCCGCTGTCCGCTGCTGGAGTGCGGTCCGCCGCTGCCCGCTATCAGAGCTCGGCCCGCCGCTGCTCGCTATCGGAGCCCGGCCCGCCGCTGCTCGCTATCGGAGCTCGGCCCGCCGCTGCTCGCTATCGGAGCTCGACCCGCCGTCGACCGCTACCGGAGCTAGCTCGACCTGCCACCGCCCGCTGAGTGGCGGAGCTCCATTATCGACCCGTTTGTGACGGCGTGGCGGTGGAGGGCTCCGCTGCTGCGCCGCTGACAGCCGTGACAAACCGCATCAGGAGCGGGGCGGCGGGCCGGGTCGGCCGCCGTGCCGACTCACGCTCCTCCTGATGGTAACGGGCTTCGTCCGAGCAAAAGAGACCAGCCACGATCGGAGCTTGTTAATGGGAAGCAGTCGTGGCCTGGAGACACGAAGACCCACGATCTCAGGTTGTTAATTCTAACAAGTCGAGCCGAGAGAAACGACGGGCCACAATCTGATCCTGGGTAACGAATGTGGTTGGCTAAGGTGACAAGCCACGTCTTGTGCTGGCCGTGTCGGTCAGGTAGAGCCAATTGGTTTAACTTGACTGTACGGCACCAGCTGAGAGCCAATTGGTTGAGCCGAACTGTGTGGCACCAGCTGGAATGGAGGCCGTCGTGCCTGAGCGGCCACCAAGTCACTTTCGCTGGCGCCAGTGCCGAGGGGCGTGGCTCTGCAGCCGGCCCGGCTCCCGCACGACCCCTGGACGCCACCCTGCCGCCTGGAGCGGACTCCGTGCCGGCCGGACTCCGGCCGTCTCGTGACCGGTCCGGCCGTCTCGTGACCGGCTCGGCCGCCGTGCCGTCGGCCGTGACGGCGGCTGTCACCAGTGGTGAGTCACTAGTCACCAGTGTCAGCCTTTCATTGGGTGGCGCCGTACCGGAGGCGGCGGCGCGTCTCGGCGGCATCGATCGCAGCGGCTCCACAGGTGCCCCCGCCGCCGCCGCCGCTCTGTGGCCGAGCTCGCCTGAGTGCGTTGTAGCGTCGGTCGCGGATCGGGACGTTTTTACTGACCCCGCGTGCCCGCGGATCATGGTAATGACTCGGCGTCCAAGGTCCTGCCGGACGGACCGCCTAATGGCGGTGAAAAACGGCCGTCGTCGCACGGTCAGCCCTGACGCGGCTCCAGCGACGGAAGCTGCGCTGGCATCGGCCCGTCAGCTGATGCCGGCGCTCGCTGCGAGCGCGGCCCGGCCGGCGCTGAGCCGGTCGCGTGCTCCGGACTGCCGAGCTCGTGACGGGCGCAGGTGGTCCGGCGCCGAGCACAGACCGTGCACGGCCCTGAACCCTGCATCGATCTCCAGACGGCGCGGCCGAGACAGCCGCCGAGCGGGTGACCCGTGACCCAGATAGGGACTGCATCGACCGAGTAATGGGTTTATGCCACACACATTCATTCGGAGCCGTGTGGGCCTGCTCATTCCGACAGGTGTCTCGGCGAGGTTTGGTCGAGGGGTGGCGCGCGGGAGACCGCCAGGTCTCGGTTCACAGAGTGAATGGGGTCGCTGCCTTCCAGCTCGGTTTCATGAGAAACGAGCACGTAATCACCTTTAAGCACCGTGCTTATTGTCACGCCAGGAAGGGCTTTGGTGATTTCAGATTGTTTTCACATTGGCCGATGCCTCCATGAGTTGATCTCTCTAAGTCCCACAACTATCTTCATGCCTAATTATCTTCTTGATGCGGATCTATGTCCAGACTGACATAGTGAAAGACCGGAGTTACAGCAATGGATATCTGCACAGCACGAATGGATGCTTGTTACGCTCACCCTTTGTGATGTCATTCTCTTCCTTTGTCGAAAACTTGGTATTTCGTGCGAAACGCTATCAGACCTGCAACCAAACTAGCTAGTTAGGTGGGTAGACTTTCCCCTAGCTGAATCTCAAACGACCATTTACCATTCCAGCCAACCGAACAAGGGGCCGGGACCTTGGCATGCGAAGTAATCGAACGAAGAGTGACGAATGGTAGAGGTCCCTTTGTTCGAGGTGCATCGCTCCTTTGCTACCCACTCTGCGCTGGGGTTTGAATAGACGTCGTCGAACCAAGTGTCAGGCATTTGGAGTAGACCAGAAGGTCGGGCCTTCAGCTTCGTAGCAGCCATAGATTACGCGCGTCGACTGAAGCCAGACACCGCGTTTGTCGTCCGCGGTTGAGGCATCAGGCCAAATAATGACGCTGCGTCTCTTTTCGATTTCCGTGTCACGCGAGTCCGCAGCTCAGCGCCGTTCGATTCGTGTCATGCATTGGACAGCAGCGAAGAGGCTTCTGTCCCTCTATTAACTCTCTCTCCCTCTCTCTCTCTCTCTCTCGTTCTCTCTCTCTCTCCCTCTCTCTCTCTCTCTCTCTCTCTCTCTCTCCTCTCTCTCTCTCTCTCTCTACCTCTCTCTCTCTCTCTCTCTCTCTCTCTCTCTCTCTCTCTCTCTCTCTCTCTCTCTCTCTCTCTCTCTCTCTCTCTCTCTCCCTGCCCTCTCTTCACCCTCCCTTTCTTGACATCCCGCGGCTTCTCGCTGAGCTGCACGCTTCATTGGTCGCGCGCGTGCGCGCCAGCCAGCCGGCGCTCCGGCCGGGCCGCGCCCGCCAACCGACCCGCTGCGCGTCGGCGGCGGCGGCGGCGGCGGCGCGGCCCGTCCCACTGCCTGACCCGTGCCGGCGGCGCGTCCCACTGACCGCCGCTGTGGCCACGCGCCGGCTCGCGTGGGAGGGGACCGCTGCCGGACACAGACCGGCCCGCCGGCGCGCGCGCGCGCTCGCCACGCTGGCTTATGCATGAGTCGGTGACATGCAATGGCCTGGCCCACTTCCCGTGAAGTGACGGCGGCGCCAGGGCCAGATTCCGCCGTGAGGCTGCGGGCGCTCGGCCGCCTGCTGACGGCGTGCCCCTGCGGTGGTGCCAGCACCGCCGCTACCCCGTAGGGCGGGGCCCGTGCCGCGGGCTGGTGTGGTAGCGGAGCTCCGCCCACTGCTCGCCGGGTCTGGCGGCCATCTCACCTGATCTCATCGCTGACAGGCTCTCCAGGGATTGAGCCGGTGCATGCGTGCATTGCGGCATTGCTTATCTCAGCGGCCAATTTTCAGAAATTCTCTATTGGTACTACATATTGTGACGCATGGAAGGTCGCAGAAAAGTTGATGAACACATGGGCGTAGCAGTCACTGACGCCACTGGTATCCTGACACCAGCCACTTTTGGGCAAGTTGGGCTTCTTCTGTTTCTCTCTAAAACAGCGTCAAAGCGGTCAGATTGTCATCTGATGCGATCATTAGATTGGAGTCAGAGGCCCAGCGACTATTAAATATGTTTTTATTAGGTCAAAGACTCGACATCCGGAAACCGCAACTGCTTTACTTAGGCAAGGGAAAAAAAACAAAAACAATGCGCTGCATTCGCATTGCATTTCAAATATCTTATCACGTGAACCCCGTCCGCTGTGTTAACCCATGGGATGACTGTATGGTGGTGTGACGGCTGTGCTCTGATCCTCTGTCCTCTGACCCCGTCCGCTGCGTTGGCCCATGGCATGACTGTGTGGCGGCGCGGTGCCTGTGCTCTGATCCTCTGTCCTATGACCCCGTCCGCTGCGTTGGCCCATGGCATGACTGTGTGGCGGCGCGGTGGCTGTGCTCTGATCCTCTGTCCTCTGACCCCGTCCGCTGCGTTGGCCCATGGCATGACTGTGTGGCGGCGCGGTGGCTGTGCTCTGATCCTCTGTCCCCTGACACCGCCCGCTGCGTTGGCCCATGGCATGCCTGTGTGACGGTGCGGTGGCTGTGCTCTGATCCTCTGTCCTATGACCCCGTCCGCTGCGTTGGCCCACTGGCATGACTGTGTGGCGGCGCGGCGGCTGTGCTCTGATCCTCCGTCTACGCGTCAGATGAGTGGCCTGCCGACATTGAGGGAGGGCGAGCGCTACGACTCGCTGGAGGACCCCGTCACCGCCGTCACCGAGCATGGCTCGGACGTCTCTGACATCAAGCCGTCGGACCTGGCCGAGGTGAGACCAGTGGCTGCTTGCTCTCTCCCCCTTCCGTTTCCCATGCACCACGATGCGTTGATTCCACTGCTGGGTGTCGTTCGGGGTGTGTGACCTACATGGCACCTACCGAGGTGAGTTGTCGGTCAGCTATCGATTCAGCCCAATTGAGGGATTGTTTGTGCCGGTCGGTACACCGGCAGCCGGTGCACAACATGTGCAGTGTTACGGTCTGTTTTGCTGGCGTGTGTCGAGGCCGGCTGACAGGCGCCGCCGCCGCCGGTGAGACCGGCCACGGCCAGTTCGCCGTCCATGAGCGTGCCCACATGCCCCGAATCTCCGCCAGCAGCGACCTCCGGTATGGCTTCGTAAATCAGCTGATGAGCCGATAATACCGGATCGCCTGGCGAATGGACGCCGCTCTCGGCGGTGCGATCCGTCGACCTAAGCGTCGCGCTTGTCTGACCTGGGCGCGACGCATGTCTGACCTGAGCGCCGCGCTTGTCTGACCTGAGCGCGGCGCATGTCTGACCTAAGTGCCGCGCTTGTCTGACCTGAGCGCGGCGCATGTCTGACCTAAGTGCCGCGCTTGTCTGACCTGAGCGCGGCGCATGTCTGACCTAAGTGCCGCGCTTGTCTGACCTGAGCGCGGCGCATGTCTGACCTAAGCGCCGCGCTTGTCTGACCTGAGCGCGGCGCATGTCTGACCTAAGCGCCGCGCTTGTCTGACCTGAGCGCGGCGCATGTCTGACCTAAGTGCCGCGCTTGTCTGACCTGAGCGCGGCGCATGTCTGACCTAAGTGCCGCGCTTGTCTGACCTGAGCGCGGCGCATGTCTGACCTAAGCGCCGCGCTTGTCTGACCTGAGCGCGGCGCAGTCTGACTAAGCGCCGCGCTTGTCTGACCTGAGAGCGCGCGCATGTCTGACCTAAGCGCCGCGCTTGTCTGACCTGAGCGCGGCGCATGTCTGACGGCGGGCTCTGTCGCCAGCTGAGCCGGCAGGAGCTGCAGCAGCGGCTGTGCTGCCAGCTGCAGAGGGCGCACCAGCAGCTGCGCCAGGCGCACGACCTGCTGGTGGCGCAGGCCCGGGAGTCGAGCCGTACCGGCCGCACCAGGTCACGCGTCGAGAACGAGCTGCTCGCATCGCAGGTCGGTCCTGCTCCTGTCACCGCTAACGAGCCGGGTTGTGGGTTAATGGCCTCGCTGGGCGACCGACGCCACCCCTGGACAGCGGGTGGAGCGAGCGGCGACGGGAGCCCGGGGGAAACTCCTCGGCCTGGTCCGTGAGCTCATATACCCGGCCATGCTGATTGATATGTAATAGCCGCATGTGAAGCGCTCATTAAGGATCCTTCAGGAGATGATTGTGTCAGTGCTGGGCCGTCATGCGCTCATGTCGTGTGGTGATTGGTTCCATCATATGAGAAACATTGTTATTCAAACCGATCACAGTTTATTTCACGCTCCGAGCGGCGTGGTGCGTCACATGACGGACCTGCCGCGATGTGGCATTATCCGGCCGTCGCGGCGCCGGCTCATTACTGTCCTGTGGTATTTGAGTAGCGGCTCACTCAATGGGCCTGCCCGTGGCCTGGCGGCCCCGCCCTGGCGAGGCACGCCATGGCCCCGTGCCAACTGTGAGACAGTGTCGCGTGGGAACGGCCTGGAAATCCGAGATACGTGCTGCAGCCAGGCCCTGGTCGCAACTTACCGCTGGCCTACGCCGGTATCTGTTGTACGCGGGTTAGTGCCGGTCATGGAACTTGCCAACGGTTATGACGGATGAAGCAAAAGGCCGGGCCGGCAGCAGACTAACGCGAGCTCCTCGGCTCAGCGCTGAGGATTACCGACCCCGGTCACGGGTCTGTCAGTGTGGGAGGGGAGGGGGGGGGAGGGGAAGAACGTTGCCCGACCCCTCTCAGGGTCTGTGCGGGGGTGGATGTGAGAACGTTGACCAGCCCTGGTCACGGGCCTGTGTTGGGTGGGTGTGAGAACGTTGAATGACTCCGGTGACGGCTCGGTGTGGGGGTGGTTGTGAGAACGTTGACCGACCCCGGCCATGGGTCTGTGTGGGGTGGGTGTGAGAACGTTGACCGACCCCGGTCATGGGTCTTGGGGGGGGGGGGTGTAAGAATGTGACCGGTCCCGTCACGGGCTGTGTGGGGTGCGTGCGAGGACGTTGACCGACCCCGGTCACGGCTCGGTATGGGGGTGGTTGTGAGAACGTTGACCGACCCCGGTCATCGGTCTGCGTGGGGTGGGCGTAAGAACGTTGACCGGTCCCCGTCACGGGCCTGTGTGGGATGGGTGTGAGAACGTTGACCGACCTCGGTCATGTGTCTATGGGGGGTGGGTATAAGAACGTTGACCGACCCCGGTCATGGGTCTGTGGGCGGTGGGTGTAAGATCGTTGACCGACTCCGCTCACGGGTCCGTGGGCGGTGGGTGTAAGAACGCTGGGCGAGCCGGTAGCCGGATGTGTGCCGCCTACAGGAGCAGCCTGAGCTCGAGGCACGAGATGGTGACGGACAGGCAGACGGCGACGCCCGTCAGTGGGCCAGTCACTCAGCCTTGGACGTAACTAGTTTCCTCGTTGTTTGCACGAACACAGCTTTTGCCGTTTGCTCGACTTAAACGCACATTGTTTTGCGTAAACTTTGGCTGACAAATTTATATTTTGTATGCGCTGCTAACAAGGTCGCCGGCGGTTTTTGCTGTTTAGTTCAATGCTTATTCGCTAGCGTTTTCCAGTTACGGCTTAGTGAGCTGTCTTGGTGCCACGTATTCGATGCTGTTTGCGTTGTACTGGCTTACAGAAACCATCAGGCCTCTGGCCATATCTGCCCAAACAGATAGCGACTATCAAAGGCTTGAGAGGCCCAGGTCGGAGAGATTAGACAATGCTAGACGTTTTACACGTGAAGGAAGATAGCCTCGATGGTCGTACAAAGCCGTCCGAGATACATACGCCATGATAAATACGTTTCATACGCCATTATTTAGACAGCGCAAAGCATGAACTCTGTAACGCTGTGAACCTGGTTTGCTTCGTGGTGTTTTGTCGTGCTTAGCTTACATATGGCTTATACTTATTTTCCAGGGTTTTGTCGTCGTCTGTCATTTATCCCTAAAGGACACGCATACGTGGTGACCTCAGCAGTAATCAGATAACCGTTCAGGTCGGGCTAGCCATGTTTGTAATGGGGAATGTGTTGTCTAACCTGCAATGACAATAACTGGCCGGTGTGTGTGGTCGGTTTGGCTCATCTTATCAGCCGGATGTCCGGTCCTGCCGCTGAACCTGGCATGCTCCGCTGTCACCGGTGCCGCCCTGTTCCCATTGCCAGCCCTTGCTCCCGCTTTCTGCTCGGCCGTCGCCACCGCCCACACCTGCTCCGACCGCCCGCCCCTGCACCCGCTGCCAGCCCCGCTCCCGCTTTCTGCTCGACCTTCACCACCGCCCACCCCTGCCCACCCCTGCTCCCGCTCCTGCGCGGCCGTCACCACCATCCGCCCTGCTCCCGCTGTTAGCCCCTGCTCCTGCTCGTGCTCAGTCGTCACCACCGCCCGCCCCTGCTCCTGCTGCCTGCTTGGTCGTCATCACTGCCCGTCCCTTCTCCCGCTGTCCCTTCGGGCTTCGGTGGCGCGAGGCAGGTGTACGTCAGGACTGGACGACCGATTTCCATCCGAGCGACCCCGCGCCGACACGGCTGCCTGTGGTTCCAGTCGCTGGTGCGTGACCTGGAGGCGGCGCTGGCCAGCAAGGGCGTCGACCCGTCGTCGCTGCAGGAGAAGAGCCTCCTGACGGCGCAGAACCTGTGCCTGACCCAGCAGCTGCGCCGGAGCCGGGCGCGCGAGCTCAGGGCTGAGAACGAACTGCAGGAGCTGCGCGACGCCAACGAGCTCATGGAGTTTCGAATCCTGGAGCTGGAGGGCTGCCAAGAGAAGGTATGACAGAGGCAGTGATGTTCAAGCTACAAGGAACAAGACAAAACACAGACGCGGTGATCTAACGAACTAGATAAGGCTACATTTGAGCATTGGGTCATCTTTTCGCCCATGCTCGTAAAAATGAAATGCATGTGTCATAGACACGGGAATGGTTGATAGCTTGCCCAGCTTGGGTGACCTAACTAAAGCCGGTAACTGGAAGGACATATTTCCGTCCAACTTTGCAAAACGAGCTTTTATCCCATCAGTGCCGGTCTCAAACTATGCACCTTTTGCATCAGCATCATCAGATCATCATCAGGTTAGGTCATCATCAGGTCTGCCCATTTGCCGGCTGCTGAAACCACTCTGAAATTATGACGGTCTCCCCCCCCCCCCGCAGCGCAAGCTCTTATTGTCCACCCGAATCTCGGAAATGTAGCACATCCACGCGTCACTTGCTACGTCCCCGTCTCTCTTGTCCTTTTACTGAAGACATCATTTGATACATTTCATTGAATTCAGGCAGGCCGCCGAGTGGAATTTGAGAGATCTGGGACCGTATATCAAGCCAGGCGCTGACGAGCTGAAAGTGTTCGGGATGTCTTCACGTCACACGAAGATATCTAGCGGAGATTAGTTTTTGTTATGTTGTTTGGATTAAAGCCCTTTCGGCCTGTCATGACCATTTCTAGACTATGAGGTGAATGAGAATGGACAACGATGGGGCAGAACTACATCCATCTGGGGGTCCATCCGCCGAGACTTGGCCCGAGACTCAGCTCGCCGAACACAGCCAGCACTGAATCCTTCGGGGTGTGTGGTCAGCGCTCAGACGGGGCCGCCACCAGGAGGCACTCGAGACCACTCATGGCTGGTGCATGCAGGCTGCCCCGGATAAATGGAGAAAAGAAAGAAGAAGAAGAATAAGTCTGGTGCTGAGGATATTGCTGCGAAACGATTCTTCCTTTGTGACAACGTGGTTTCTGGTGCATTATGGATATCTTGTTGGGGTTAACGTCAAAAATTCTTTAAGCATGCAATGCAACATGTAAAAGCAGTGGCGATAGAAATCTAGACGACACATCTCAATAAATTTGTCATTCCTTACCACAACTAGCGCGGTGAAAATCATTTTAAACATCGCCGTGAATCCCAATGGTACACGGAGCGCCATCTATTGACGGCGACGGCAGCCAGCCGACCTCGAGGTCAGAATGAAACCTGTTTGCGCTTCTCTGCAAATAGGCCAAGTCCGGCGCGGCCGCCTGATCCCCCGCCGGCCGGCGGGCCCGCCCCGGCTCCAGTCCGGTCCGGCCCGGCGCGCCGGCCGGCCGTTACTCGACCCCCCGTTCGGAGCATGCACAGCTCCGCGCGCGCATGCAAATGGCCGGCCTGCCGACCGCGGCCGCCGCTCAGTCTGCTGACCGGCCGTGATCAGGGCGTGCCGGCCGACCGTGGCCGTAGCCGGCCAGTAGTGTGGGCTGGTGGCCAGCTGTGCTGACGCCGGGGCCGCCGTGCGCCGCTGGCTCCGCGTGAGTCCGAGACTGCGCGGGCGTCGCACGGCCCGCACGGGTGTGGGCCATCTCCGATGCTGTGAGATCCGCGCGTTGTGGACGGTTTTGACGCTGTCTGTTGCATGTCTGCGACTGGTCTGTTGCCGGCGGCTCCATGTTAATGTGTGACGGTTCTGACGCTGTCTGTTGGCCGTGTGTGAGTGGTCCGGTGCAGCGTGTCCCATGTGAGGGACGGGCTGGGCGCCGCCGGCTTTGTGCTGGCGGGTGGCGTGTTTAGCGCTGCCGGTTTCATGTGAGTCTAGAAGGCCTGGTGCCGCCCACTGCAGGCCCGTATGGTGAGGCCGTGATGTTGCCGTCGGCATGCATGCGATGCGTGTTGATGTACCTCGAGTACATGAGGGCAAGACAAAGAGGGCTGTGTATTGTGTACTGTAGTGTGCTGGTGGGGATGGTCTGATCAGTCATGTCGAGAGAAAGACGTTGTTTTGTATCGTTATGAGAGATCTGGACCGTACTGCCCTGGCATTTGGTTGGGGCCCGCCCCCCCCCCCCCTCCCCTGCACGCTACCAACGGAGACGTACTGTTTACACGAGTCGGCACGGCCATAAATACATGCTGCCTTCACTGCTGTCCGCAGCCCCCGTTGATGACCGGTACCCTTGTGTCATACTGTACCGTAGAGAAGGGTGTGTTTGTGCCTATACAGTGGCCTCCTGAGAAGAGTGACACCACCGCCGTTTGGCCAGGGGATGGTGCCGGGGCAGCACGCGTCCATGCCGCGTGCCGCTCTGAGCTTTGCCTCCCGTCTGCTCCCTCCGTGCTGTGTGCCGCTCCTTCCGTGTCATGCGCCACTCTAAGCGCTGCCTCCCATCCGCTCCCTCCGTGCTGTACGCTGCAATGGGCGTTGCCTCCTGTCTGCTCCCTCTGTGCTGGTCGCAGCTCTGAGCGCTGCCTCCCGTCTGCTCTCTCCGTGCTGTGTGCCGCTCCCTCCGTGTCATGCGCCACTCTAAGCGCTGCCTCCCATCCGCTCCCTCCGTCCTGTTCGCTGTCCTGAGCGCTGCCTCCCGTCCGCTTCCTCTGTGCTGGTCACCGCTCTGCGAGCTGCCTCCCGTCCGCTCCCTCTGTGCTGGTCGCTGCTCTGAGCGCTGCCTCCCGTCCGCTCCCTCTGTGCTGGTCGCCGCTGTGAGCGCTGCCTTCTGTCCGCTCCAGCCCAGCGATCCGGTGGCGACGGCCGCGACGCCCGCGCTGTCCCGGTTAGAGACGGCGCCATCAGCAGACACCGACGCCGACGACAGCCAGGTGGGTCAGCTCAGCTGCTGTCTCAGCTGCTAGCCCGGGTCAGACGTCAGCCTGGGTCAGCTGTTAACCTGGATCAGATGTCAGCCCGGGTCAGCTGTTAGCCCGGGTCAGATGTCAGCCCGGGTCAGCCGTTAGTCCGGGTCAGATGTCAGCCCGGGTCAGATGTCAGCCCGGGTCAGCCGTTCGCCCGGGTCAGATGTCAGCTCGGGACCACTGTCAGTCCGGGTCAGATGTCAGCTCGGGTCAGCCGTTAGTCCGGGTCAGATGTCAGCTCGGGTCAGCCGTTAGTCCGGGTCAGATGTCAGCTCGGGACAACTGTCAGTCCGGGTTCAGATGTCAGCTCGGGACAACTGTCAGTCCGGGTCAGATGTCAGCTCGGTCAGCCGTTAGTCCGGGTCAGATGTCAGCTCGGGTCCAGCCGTTAGTCCGGGTCAGATGTCAGCTCGGGACAACCTGTCAGTCCGGGTCAGATGTCAGCCCGGGTCAGGCCGTTAGCCTGGGTCAGATGTCAGCTCGGGACCACTGTCAGTCCGGGTCAGATGTCAGCCCGGGTCAGCACGTTCGCCCGGGGTCAGATGTCAGCTCGGGACAACTGTCAGTCCGGGTCAGATGTCAGCTCGGGACAACTGTCAGTCCGGGTCAGATGTCAGCTCGGGTACAACTGTCAGTCCGGGTCAGATGTCAGCTCGGGTCAGCCGTTAGTCCGGGTCAGAATCAGCTCAGGGAAACTGTCAGTCCGGGTCAGATGCAGCTCGGGACAACTGTCAGTCCGGGTCAGATGTCAGCTCGGGACACTGTCAGTCCGGGTCAGATGTCAGCTCGGGACATACTGTCAGTCGGGTCAGATGTCAGCCCGGGTCAGATTCAGCTCGGGACGACTGTCAGTCCGGGTCAGATGTCAGCTCGGGACAACTGTCAGTCCGGGTCAGATGTCAGCTCGGGACAACTGTCAGTCCGGGTCAGATGTCAGCTCGGGACAACTGTCAGTCCGGGTCAGATGTCAGCTCGGGACAACTGTCAGTCCGGGTCAGATGTCAGCTCGGGACAACTGTCAGTCCGGGTCACCTCAGGTCAACTCAGCTGTGTGCCCAGGCCAGCCCAGGTCGGTAGTTCGCCGCTGAACGAAGCCATGGCCGACGCTGGCTGTGTCCCAGTGACAGCGCCACTGATACGGTGTCATTTCCTGGGGGAGAAGAGGGATTCATTTGCCAATGTCGTGGTCATTCGTTATATGTGACGTAGGAGACCACGACGCCGGCAATTTAGACTTGCAGACGGAAGTTGCGATCGCCCGAACCACAGCCAGAACGAGCCGTTGCGCATGCCGTATCATTGTCTGAAGGCACATCACAGGGAGTTGTTGATCAGATTTGACTCTGCGAAGGCAATGGCACGTTCAGTTTTACCGCAACACCAAATAACTCACTTTCTACAGGAGAAGCAAAATTCATAGGTGCCAAGGCTCGTGCAAGGCGCTTCTCCGTGACAAAGCAATACGATTCCATGTGATGTGAAGGCTAGTGTGTAGTTTAGATAACCAGCAAGCGAGCATGGTAATCGCATATTTCACTTAAGAACTGAAATCTGAAAGCAGTACGTCAGAAATGAATCATCATACGCGCTGAATGGACGTTATGAACATTTAAACGTGATCCATGGTTTACTTCAGCTAGATGTAGACAGAACGTTCTTATGGGGCATTTCTGTTTTAATCGTCTTGTGCTAGATTATGTAAGCCACTGTTTTACGTATCATAGCTGCGTGAGCCAAGAGGGTTCATGGTCACTGATCAGTTAGTCAGTTTCCAATGAACTTCAATCAATGGATGATGGACTTGGCAATCGAGTGGCTCTAACACGATGTTAGCGCCATCTGTGATGAGTGAGTGGGAGTCCCCCTGATCACACATAGGTGGCGTTCGTGGCAACGCCTGAACGTTCGTCGATGGGCGTGGGTCACCGCCTTGGGAGATCTTATTGGAGGGAATGCAGCTTTTTGCAAAGGTCTACAAGCCAAGAGCAGCAAATGTAATATCAGAGGTACTGCAGTGCCATTTCAATTTGTTGTTTTATGAAGCAGCACATCACATTAGCCCGTTTTCAATCATGTGAGAAAACAAACATTACGCCAGGATGGCCTCCATCACTTGTGATCCCCGTCTCATGTCTAAAAACTCCCTTTCACTTAAAAGAGCACGCCAGAAAGGGGCAATGGCTGATTCAGATGCCGATGCATATTGCCGGTGATTTTAGGTAATTTGAGGTCTTCCAACTTAGTCTCCATAAACGTTTTTCTTGACCAATTCAGCCCGAGCTATTTTTTACCATTCACAATTTTTTATGTATTTTGTATCATCTATCAAGTAGTTCTTTGGTTCAGGAGCATAGTTGCCTTGAACTGCTAATTATGCCGATATATATATATATATATATATATATATATATATATATATATAACCTTAGCTTAAGACTTCACACATTTGTGAAATAGCCCCGAAAAATGGGGGAGCCCAGATAAGGAAAGCTCAGATCAGTTGGGTGAGGGAGGATTCTCGTGAAACAATTCAAAGAACATCACTGTAATCAGCCGTGTTTCACTGGTCGGAATTTCGTTCATTACAGCGTCAATATTGAAGCGTGGACTGTGCTCCACATAGTCAGCAAATGAGAATGGAAAAGAAGCTTTATGGACCCCTCTGACAGCAGATTACAGGTTGAAGTGTATTGCGGTTGTTGTTCCTTTTGCTATGCGACCTTGGGCGCCACGAGCCTTTAGAACCTCATGGGGATGCTATGAGCAAACAACTCGCGTTCTCACGATATCACCTGTCACCACACAGCTCACACTTATGGTTTATAAAGCGACGGAGAAAACCTGAGTGTTGGCGCGTAATGCGTCGCTGCACGTCCCTTTCAAACTCATGAATCGGTCATCGACTAAGAAAGCTGAAGTGACGCGAAGTCACACACGTGACGCAGCTCTTCGGCAGCGGGATTGACGGACGGCGAGGCCGAAGCTCGTTTGTTACGCCTCTACGATACAGCTGCGAACATCACCGCCGACGGCCTGCCGTGGCCCATTAATACAGCCGTGTGTTATGGAGCCGCTTTCTCGGCCGCCGACAGCCGCAGTTCAAAACGGATGCGGCTGGTGCATCACACCATCACGTACAGGCTTGATGCTGATGCTTGATGCTTGATGCATCACGCGAGGCTTGATGCTGATTTCTGGTTCGGCACAGGGGTGGATCAAGGGAAAATGGCGGAGAGGGGTGGGCACCCCACCTTTTTAGGAGGGGAACAGTCTGTGTTTAAACAAAAATAATTTCGTTGCACCCAATGAATGCGAATGATGGGGGAGGGGACACATTCTCCCTGTCCCCCCCCCCTCCCCCACCCTGTACCCGCACCTGGTCTGGTCCCATGGCCACTTCGTGCAGTGGGCGTCCAGGCTCGCGGCCACGCCACGTCCGCGCCCGTGTTGCGCAATGCTCCCGACTGGCCGGGCGCAGGTACGCCAGCATGATCCGCGGGTCCGTCAAGTACATAAATGGTTGTGCTCGTGCGCATCTCAGCTGACCTCATCGGAGGGTTGAACCAAGTGTCAGGGATAGAGATTATGTAGCCCGTACCTGGGCGGATGAATGGACAGACCATGGGCTGTGACCAGCACGCGTCTTTTTGTCGGCCTTTGTTTCCCGTCACAATGGAGTGCCTAATCTTTGCGCTGCTGATCACTGATAAGACCTCTTCGGTGAAGTCCATTCGATTAGTGCAGCCCTCCGGATAGCTGACCGGCGGAGGCAGACCTCTCAATGCGTTCTGTTGCCGCTGGCGGGTTAAATAGTGCTCTAATTAGGTGTTATGTATAAATAAGTGCTCTCTAATCTCGCTGATTCTCAACGACAATGCACCCCCTCACTGTGGTCATCAGTGGTGACGCTCCGATGTGGTGGTGTGAGCCGCCAAACATGAGCCTGATGGTCATGAATCATGAGCGCCGCACAATGCGGAATCTTGGGCGCATGCCGTCCTTTGTCTGGCACGTCAGCGGCGCTCCGTGTGGCTGATAGCGCCGCCGTGGCGCGCAGTTCGAGAGGGCAGGCGTGTTTGAAAAAGCATGGGAGCCAGGAGCCAGGCCATGTCCTTAACGAAAGGACCAAAGGGACCCGGAAAGTGTGGGTCTCATGCTTGTAAAAGGATTAGTGGGAACCAGCAACAAGGCCATGGTGTTTTGTGAAGTAAGCAGCAAAAGACAGGGAACGAACGTCTGCTGTCTGTAGAATAAACTAATGAAAACCTGGAGCGTTGTCCGTTGTTTGAGGGAGAACGGGTGAGAACTCTACGACCTGGGTCCACGAAAGAACCCAGTAGGATGTAGGGAGCCAGGGACCGTTGCTTCCGAAAAAAAATTGCGAGAGCCAACATCCAGGATCTCATTTTTACGTGGGAGCCACTGCGAATCCCGAGTCAGCAGTGGAAACTACGCACGGGTCTGCTGGCAATATCCGAATGATTTTTGCTGCTGCGTTTTGGTTTTTCTTCCTGGGAAATGTTTAAGGCATGTGCGCAACAGACATGTACACCTACAAACTACCGCGAATCGAAAATCTGCGACAAGAACACTTACGTCTATGATTATCTGCCATCCAGGACATTGACCTAGAATCCAATATTCGTTTTCGTACCCATAAATATCCTTGACATTTCTAAGTGGATCCTGAATCCTGAAAGTGCCTAATCCCTCGTAGAAATGAGCAAGGCTGAACTAGATCGCGCAGCGACCTCCGCATGTTGAGGAAGGCTGTAGAACTAAATGAACCCCAAAAAGGGTTTGCGTTTTCAATGATTTCAAACAAACATGTCAGAAAAGTGATTTTATAGTTTGCCCACCATTGTAGAAAACGGATGTAAGATGGCCCTTAATGACGTTTGAAACACACCCTTTTTCCAAAGAACCCTCCAAGAAAAATGAAAACAAGTCCTGCGTTTTAAAACATCGTTTGTCAACATTAGCAACAGAGTCCAGGACCC